AAAAACATAAAGAAAAACACATATTACTAAAATTAGAAATTAATATATACACAAGGACAAAATTAAAAATACCAAAAAAACAAATCGAGCCCAAAATAGCAGATATAATTCTAACACGAACGAACATGTTAGCTGATAAAAAATACCAAAAAAATATATTTCTTAAAATTTTCAATTCAGGGATGCCAACCTCCAAAGTACAAGCAAATCGAAAAAAAACTTATTTGTTTCATATATATCGGTAAAAAAGACATATTGGGTTTTGAAACGATAAAACGAAAGCTTATATTTTTTGAGGAAATTCGAAGAGTTCAGAAAGTAGAATGAAAGAAAAGCTATATTGATCTTAACACATGCAGTGACGCCCACTGAATTTCAATTTTATTTATTTTACTGACTAATAACTATTTATTGTGACTCAAAAAGGCAAATAATGGCAAAGCAATGCGAGTAGAAAATGTTAATGATTATAAAATATCGTTGGTTTTGAACCAAGAAATTTTGGATTTTGCATACGGCTTTTTGAGCCAAGGTAACAAAAGGAAAATTCATGAATCTTCGAAACAAGACACATATCTTTTAATCTCTCCCTTCTTCTTTCTTTTATTTGATATAAGTTCAAGCGTGCTCGAATAATCTCCAATTATCAACAGAGACATGGCTTGCAAACTGTTGAAACATTAAGTTTTTTTTTATTCTTTTCCTTTCCTTCTATCTTTTTTCCTTCTTTCTTTCCTTCAATCTTCCTTTGTTTTTTAGGGGTTTTTTTTCCTTGTTTCTTTTTTTCTTTTTCTTTCTGTCTGTTTCCTTTTCTCTCCTTCCTATCTCTAATCAACCATCACGCAGTCTCATAATTGGTAGTTCCCAAAAACGAAGATGCGCCGCTTGAAAACGGTTCCACCCAGACATAAATAAGACTCGAAGGTTTATAGTACTGCGAAGCAGTTGTAAAGGGCACTTCATTTTTAAACCGTCCTACTCAGATTCTCCAGTGGTTATTGACCATGGCAGAGAAGGCAAATTAACTTGATAGCGTTCGAGTCTGTTCTGAACTGAGTCTCAATTTAATAGATCAAGAGTTTCAAGTGCTACAAGAAGTAAATAATCGCGCGTTTTTCCGCTCGGTGTTTTTGTTTGTTTTCTCGGCGGAAGAATTTGAAATAGCTAACAGTTGCTAAAAATCACGGATTTTTCTGGAAAACACAAGAAATCGATAGGGAATATGTTCCAGAATGTTCTACACTTAGATATCTGTTATTGTTCTTTTGTTGTAGTTTCCCCTCCAAAACAGGAAACATTTGGTAACGATTTGAATAAAGGAAAAAAAAAAAACAAACAAAAAACAGTTGCTTTGAAAATGATGATCATGACTCTGTTAACATAGAATTCAAATATAAGGTACTTTTTATAGAGTTACAAGTACTAAACTATTACAAAAATAGTACAATAGACCAACAAATAAGTCTTAACAAATGAAAAACGTGATTAAGATAGTCCAAAATAATGATCAGAGTTCTTGGAATTTAATATTCAAAATCAGAGGTTCTATTTCAAATCGAGTTAAAATTATTTTTTCTTAGATAAAAAAATAACTGGGGAAAAAAAAAAAAGCTAGAAATAAAAACCCAGATCCTACAAATTAATAGGTACTATTTCAAATCGAATTAAAATTATTTTTTATTAGGCAAAAAAAATTAATAATAATAATATAATAATAATGTGACAA